AAAGAAAGTGATAGAATTATAAAAACAAAGAATAACATAAGAGAAGGTGATAGAAGGAAAAACAAAGAATAACATAAGAATAAAAGGAAGAAACAAAGAATAACATAAGGAAAGACAGAAAGAGAAAGTGATAGAATGATTAAAACAAAGAAGAACATAAGAAAAGCTGATAGAAGGAAAAGAACAAAGATTAACATAAGAATAGAAAGAAGAAACAGAGAATAACAGAAGAGAAAGTGATAGAATTATAAAAATAAAGAATAACATAAGGGAAGGTGATAGAAGGAAAAAAAACAAAGAATAACATAAGAATAGAAGGAAGAAACAAAGAATAACATAAGGAAAGACAGAAAGAGAAAAAGAGGAAAACAGGGTATAACATTACGGAACAGGCCACGATAAAGCGCATGGTATAGTAAACGCAAATTGCATGAAAAGCAGGCGCGCGTTTTTTGTCCAAACCGGAACAGGCTCCGTCATACAATCATGATTGAAAACTCTGTCCGTTCAATCGAATTTTAGCGACCGTGATTCTGCAGAATCATGATACAAAACGCATCTTTTTCAGCATTTGATGTTTGTGTTTTCAAACACGTTTATTTTTACGACCGACGAAAAAATCGCTTGAACGCATTGCGTTTTAAACTAAACGTCTTTAGAAACCGTGATTCTAGGGTGAAAAAGTGTCGATTAAACGCACCCTTAGTTGGTGGGTATTCAATCGCCGGTTGATAAGATGCATGGTATGCTGCCCATGTTTAGTTCCTCCTTTTCAAGAAGAGGGAGGCAGTGAAAAAAATACACAGGGGCTCAGGGCGAAATAGCCCCCCGAAATGCCCAAAAGAGCCCCCGAAAGTCAGAAGAGAGCCCCTGTAATTTTGCATAGAGTTCAATGCAAAACAAATTTTAGAGTGTTATTTTCATGCAGGCAAGCTTGAAAAGTAGCCCCGAAAAATAAACATTATTTTTTCCCTGGAGGGAGGGCCTAATTGATCTACTTCTGTTCTGTTGCTCTTGCATCATCTATTCAACTCTTGACAGGACCAACAACAATGAATGTGAATATACATATTGAGGATCCGGGACAAGGCCCCTGCCCCCTTCACATTTATGTAAATGTTTTACCTGGGGCTCCTTCCTTAATATTATTCAGTAGGTCCTAGGAGAGCCCTGTACTAAAACAGGCGGTCGTATAACCACAAACCAATGTGATCATACATTACATATAACATTGGGGCTGTGGCACGACGCCCCCGCCCCCATCACACATTTATGAATATTAATATTTTGTTGGGGGCTTTTATCCTTACAACGTTGAGAAGTTCATAAGGAAGCCCTGTACCAAAAATGGTGTTTTGTACAACCACAAAAAACAACAATATTTTAATTTTGGGGGCTCCTGTACCCACACCCTTAAATTGAAATTTTTGCTGGTGGCTCGTAGCCTAATATCGTTTAGTAGGTCCTAAGGAAGCTCTATTTAGAGACATTCCCGCTCCTCCTTGTTGGAAATCTTGCCCCACCACTCTGCCCCTGACTGATCTTACACCACTGAGATATTAAGTAGACCAAGCAGGCCCATTATCATAGTTATTTAAGAAAATAGTAATTGTTTATACAACAATATTGTTTTTGTAGAAAGTAGCTTCTAGTAGGACTTTTGGACCTCCAAATTATATAGCGGGGGCGGGGGGGGGGGGGGGGGGGACCAGACCATGAGCCTAGTTACTGCCCGGAGAGGGGTGAGAGGGGTGAGAAGAAAAATACAGAATGTAAACATAGATATGCAGGTTTAGAAAAATTAAACATTCATTAATTTGAGACATGGTTAATTTAAAGCAAACACAGAAAATACATGTAATAGTCAATTAAGTCCATGGATACATGCTTAAAGGTTTACATACAAAATATAAAGAATGAATTACTTTAAAAAGCCAAATCAAAAAACAAAATGAAATACAATATAGGGAACAAAATAAACGAAGAGTAAGGCTGCCGTGTATGATTATGGAACAAAATAGATAATAACAGAACAAACACATAACAATATACATACTACCTGTCAATTCATCATACACATTGAGAACAGGGAAATGTTGTTTGTTTGTTTTTAATTTTTTTAAAACCATATTATCTTGATGGAATTTAGTATCGTAAAAGGCATTATATACCCATGCTCACTGTCTCCCGCAAGTTTGAAATAGGGTCTTATTGTCAGGGTCATTTTGTAGGAGAGGTTGGTAATCATAAAGCATCGTCTTACTGTCATGTTTTTTATCTTTCTTTTTTCTTTTTATTTGAAAAGAAAAAAGAGGAAGGAAACAAAATGTAACAATTATTTATCATTATCCCTGTATTATATTCCAGAAGAGACATGCAGAAGTAGGTTAATTTTTTTTCATTCCTGGTTATTGTCATCTTTACTCTTATACTCACTTAGCCTATCTATGTTACACTATAATAACTTTGAAATTTGTTAACACCAATGTTTTTAAAAAAAATAAAAATTGAAATCAATAAAATTTGAATTTGAATTTATGAAATATCCCCGGCCCCCCTTTCACCCCCCCCCCCCCCTGCCGCCTACGCCTATATAATGGCGACTCAAACATTCAGATGTCAACATTTATATTTATTTTCGGGGGGGGGGGGCTGAGGTGGTTTCCTTGTGAAATATATATCGTCTTGTCAACAAAGTAAATTTTCATAAGTTTGACTCTCAGTTAGGGGGGGGGGGGTTGGAAGATTTCCCACAAGGGGGACATATTACGATAGGGAGCGAGGGAAATATAGTAGCTAGATTATGGGGATGTCTCTATATTTTATCAAAGTTAAAAAATTAAAAAAAACTATAAAAAAAAATAATACAGGGGACGCCACCGTTCACATAATGCCTTACGGTCACAAAATCGTATCTTATCTCGCTTAAAATCTTGATAATATAATTTCCTTTAATATAGAAAATATATTGTGCAATATTGTATATTTACAAAAAGCTTGAATATGGTTTATAACTTAATTCCCTACAACCCCCTCTCTGTTGCTTCCTCCCTTTCCTGAGGATTAGGGACATGATAGATCAGCCCCTTGATGGCAACATACCGTGTGAGTCAAAAAAAAGTTTACGCCTAGAAAATTGCTAATTATTTATAAAATCATCTATGAACAGTAACTTATTATACATCTTATGAACGAGTGTTTAATCCCAAATCATTTGGTACCATTTTTGTGTGGTATGGATGAACAGGTGGCATTGTTTGCGAGAGTGCAAAAATTGATTTACGCCAAAGTGATGCCTACAGTATGTATTATGTTGGGATTAGCGGAGTGAGAGAATGAATTGAATGTATCAAATTTTTGTAAAGGGCAAAGTCACACACACCCACACACACACGCACAAATGTTTGTTGATATTTGATATTCGATATTTGATATGTGTGGCATGATTAATTTTGTTAGGGATGTTATTTGGATCTGCAAAGACCGAATTAATACCCAAATCCCAATTGTTTTATTGAAACATCACATATAAAGCAACTTTGGCGCAATTCGATTTTTGCACTCTCGCAAACAATGTCTTTTGTTCATCCAAGCGTTAACACATACCACCACAAAATGGTACCAAATGATTTGGGATAAAACACTCTTTCATAAGACATATAACAATTTAATGTTCATCAATGATTTTTTAAATAATTTGCCATTTTCTAGGTGTAAACTTTTTTTTTGACTCACACTGTACATGTAGTTACACCGCCATCCCCCCCCCCCCCCCGAAACACACACAAGCTACGTCATCTATCAACTACTTGGACAGGAGTTGTCGATAAGATCCACTTGTACCAAGGAAATACTTCGGGGTGGGTGGGCCGAATGGCACAGCGTGGTCGGACTGATGGGGGGCTGGGGCCTGGGATGATGGGTCACGTACATTATTGGGGCAGGTCTTTGTTTCTCTTTTTTTGTCCAGAAATGTATGTTTTCAATATGTTTTCAATAAATGTTTTCTACAAATATTCGGGGCTATGGGGCATCCCTCCCCCCCCCCCCCCTACGGCACAGCCTTGGGTTGTCTTTCCATTTTTTAAAAATTTCATTATCATTTTGTTTATTGCTTATTTCATTTTCATTTTTTTTAATGAATAATGACCCTCATTCGTATTGTGAGTAGCGACCCTCTTCTCGCCTTATGAAAAGCGACCCTCTTCTCCTATTATGAATAGTGACCCTCATTTCTTAATATGAATAGCGATCCTCTTTTCCTATTATGAATAGCGACCCTCTTCTTCGATTATGAATAATGACCCTTATGAATATAGCGATCGACCCTCATTCCGCATTATGAATAGCGACCCTCATTCCGCATTATGAATAGCGACCCTTATTCGTATTATGAATAGCGACCCTCTTTTCGTATTATGAATATAGCGACCCTTTTCTTGTATTATGAATAGGGACCCTTTTTTCAAATTATGAATAGCGACATTAACCCAATTTTTCGGTCTAGGTTGGTGATATAAAGTCTACTTTAGTTTAAGTCAGGATCTGGTTGGCATGGTTAGGGTTAGACAGAAATAACCATCTGGTATGGGTCATTCTTTAATAAAACAGAAATTCCCCATGTAGACAGTACTTCTTACGGCTCGCACAACGGGGAGATTGATCAATTGCTACGGATTTTGTACCACTTCTGGAAGTTCTGGTACAAAATCTTTCTCCCCCGTTTTTTCTTTATTTAGATCTAATTGATTTAAAAATCAGACAGAAGAAAAAATACATATTTCTTTCCCATGTAAAATTAGTAAAATTTTAATTACTGGTACGTGTTTCCAAAATTAAGGTGAACTTACGAAATTGCTTGATACGAGTTATCCAATTTTTATCTTAGAACCAGTGAAACGGTACGTTCATGCATTCAAACTGTAATCTATGACTTGACCCGGCCGGGTCAACTTGGCAAATAATTTGTTTTATGTTGAAAATTCTCATTTGTTTTCCAGCAATAGATAGTTGGAAGTTTCTTGCAGAAATCCTGGCATGACCTTTGGCTGCATTCTGCATGGTGGAGAGTGCAGTGTGATCTGGTAAGTAAATTCAGTTTGACCTTTTTTCTGTCTTGTTTGTTCAACAAAAGAATAATACATGTATGACTGTAGTCCGTGGGCCAGGGGGGCTACCGTGCACCCCCCCTATGATCCTACTTTTTGGGTGTCATTTTGTTCGTTGGGATCCATAATATACAACAATAGGTAGACAAAATTATTTTGATTTATTTAATTGTCTTCAATTATTAATGACGTCATAAATTTGCATATATTAAATATGCAAATTTCTGTCTCAAAATCTGTCAAAATCACCTGAAAGTTGTATTTTGTCTGCTATTATCATGAAACAGGTTTTCTAGCCCCCTTAATTTGGTGTAATATTATTCATTGATATGTTATCTGATGTTTCCCCCCCAAAAATAGTATCAGTCAACTCGTATGCGCATCCCCCCCCCCCCCCCCCCGCTAATTACAACTAGTACATTCTGTATATATAATGTACATTTAATCCAGGTTGGATAGCAACTTGTTGAAAAATTTGTTGCGTTGCTGTAACAGTTTGATTGGCTTGACTTTGACGGTTCCTTTAAAGGCGCTTATGGAGTCACAGCCTGAGAAAGCATGTAAGTCCCAGGAGCGCTGCGCAAAATTAGTGACATCCTTGAGCCGTTGCTTATTGCCTCTCCTTGTATGGAAGAGTAATGTAATGTCTGAAGTGAGATGAGCGTAATGAAGCAATATACAAAATATATTGATGTTAGGGCTTTTGATATTCACATGATCACAACCTTGCTCCTTTACCGTATTGGCAGTAAAGGATCACGCGTGAATATGCTTTTTCTTGGGTTGAGTTGAGAGATGGAATCTCAGAACACAGTGTCTCTCTCCTGTTCTGAGAAGTGAGCAGTTGGGCTTCTCCTTCTTTGATGAATATCATTTTTTCCCATACAGCCTCTTAGCCGTGTCGTGCTTACTCCAGACATCCAGAAGAACTTGAATAGGTTGTTTCTTATTCTCATCATTCGTTAGGAACTGCTTCCAGTCAGATGGTCTTTTGGTCTTGCCTCCTTTAATCATCATCTTCTCTGCACACCCACGCCGTGTCCTTTCACTTGACTTCCCAGAGTCTGGCTTGTACAATGTACATGTCTGCGCTGAAGATGACATCGCATTTGGACAACACTCCATTGTGAATTTTGATGCAAATATCGTGGAAGTATGCAGGCATCTCTTTTAGGTAGTAGAAAACAGCATTACCATCTTCCACTACCAAGGAAGTGCCAGTGGTGGGAGGTTGCGAGTTCTCTACATCCTTACTAAGATAGTGTAGGCTCTGAAATGTATCTGTCTTAGCAAAGAAGTTGTTCCAATGTTCCAATTGAGTATAGAGAACAGGGATCAAAGAATTCCCGTAGATCAAGTTGGCTGCCTGAACTTTGTGCCTTTACCATCAGCTGGATAGCAATGTCCCCTTGTTGCTTGTACTCTTTTACTTTTCATTGGGATGTTTTAAGCTTGAATTTCTTAATTGTCTCTGCCAAGGTTTGAGCTTCAGTTTCTTGATGGGGTCAGAGAAGGATGTCTTTTTCTCTAATCGCTCTTTGATGAACATCTCTTTCTGGTCTTTCCCTGTGGTAATTGCATGCATGACGTCTTTCTCAACCTCAGCTGGAACGCGGGTACCGGAAGAAAAAACATACAATCCATTCTTGTCATCAACATCAACATGATTGAGGAAGCTTTTTACATCTGATCATCTATGGCCCTTTTTTTAATACACATCCCTCACTTTTTCTCATCTGAGTTGGTTGTTGATCTCTATGTTTACTTCCACGGTGAGCATCAAACGTCATATCTGCATATTATGTTCGAGCCCACCTCTGATATACACTGTAGTTCTCAATAATGCCAGAGACACCGACACCACTACCACCCCCACCGCGAGATTTGCCATGCTTCAGGAATATCTCCTCAATTGTCTTGTCGACAGCACATCGGTTCCCTGGAATGAGCGACCTGACAACACTTATTGCACCTCTTTCGAGCAATGTCGTGGCACCAGGAAGTGAATCTTCAATGTTTACTAAGAATACATCAAGGTAGGTCAGATATCGGGAGTAATTGTGACCAGGTCAGGCATAAGGAACAGGCAGTGCAAGTACAATGGACAGTCATTTTCTTTCACAGACCTGATCAATGAAAGATCAATCCAAACGCAATCAACATACGACATCAAAAATTGTGCCGTCTTCCCAAGAGATCCTCTTCGAATATCAGCTTTGAAGCTCTCATATGACTCTTTCAACGCCTTTAGATCTTCATTAGCCACAACCTCAGCAAGCCTCTCCTTTGTTGGTGATCGAATTAGCTCTTAGAAGATTTCTTTGATTAATCAGCTATACCAACAAGTGCATCATCTTTTCCAGTCATTAACAGGAACTCATAAAAAGGAGCCTTTCTAAGCACTCCACCATTGTCTTGTGACAATGCAGACTCCTGTCGCAGTTCTTTCCTGTTATGACGTCTTTCATAGACCCAGAAGACATCAGACCAGCTTCCAAGAGGATATCTTCAAGTCCGGATCCATCCATTTTCTTTCCAAGCATCTCGGAGTATGCACAAATCAAATGGAAAGTGCCAATCAACACAATGTGTTTCTTGTAATTCTATGGATGACTCCAAATGAGAGGATATGCCTTCATGCACACGCCCAAGTCAAATGTTGTTATGACATAGTCTTGGCCAACCTCGCGGCTTGCTTCTTCTGCAGCTCTCGGGCACTCTTGGATTGTATCGAATTCTGTTATGGGATAGTAATCTACGGTAGTCACATTTGAAGGCACCTCCCATGTTACTGAGACAAATCCAGCCCAACCTGGAAGGTCTTGACCTGTTTCTCCACTACTTTTTCGGACAAGCATCCACGCAATATCATTTCTGGCACATTGTTTGAATGCTTTATATCGGTTGACATAGCCAAGGTGGAAGAGGACCTTCATGTTCAATAGCCAAGGAACGTTCTTTGGTTCATTTACGCGCTTCTGAGGATACTGTGCTATTTGAAGATTCAACTGTCTCATTGTTAGAAATCTCCTGCAGCATAATCCCATGTGCTGTGTGGACAGAGCCAGAACCACTTAAGCTTGAAATGTATTGGTTGAAATCGTCAACGTCTGAATGGAAGACTGATGGCTCCACGGGACGGCGGACTACCTGTCTAGATAGAATACCGAAAGTCTACTGTCCGCTTGTGCTATGGCAGATTCAAGCTCAAGTGAAAATTAATAGCTTTCTGAAAGAACAAGGCGATTCATGAATGTGATCAGTTGAGCACTGCGTAAGAGATGTCTCAGAGTCATCCATATCAGAATATGCTTGGACATTTTCCACTTTCCATTTGTGGCTGCCCTACATACATGTATATCTTGCCCAAGATATATGACAAGTCTAGTCACTCTTTGTAATGGTCAAGACAGACCTCCACTCACAAATGGTTCAGAAACTTCTCTAGCTCAGTGGGAATCTGGTCATCTATATACAGGCAATGGCTTTTGCGGTTGAGGGCCAGGTATTTCATCATCTAAAATTTAATCTACATATGCTGGCAAATGCTTTCTTGTGGGGTATTTCCATTGTTCTCTGTTTACCTACTTCATTGTACTTGTCACTTCTCCATTAATCTGGTTCTTAGTTCGCCACATATTTCTTCCGACATTTCTTGTGATATCTTGCTTCTGCAGCAAACGGATAAACTTTCATGATTCTCAAAAGTAGGTTTTCATCACCAGCTCTCTTTGCAACATCTACAACATTTTGCCACCCACCAAAATCTAACATTGGTGACTTTCTGTTGTCCAAGAGCTTTTCACTTTGATTGATTTTTGGCCTTCCTTTTTACAAAAGATACAGTCAGGATTGAAGATGACTTCATCAATTGACAATCTGGGTGGACGGGATGTTGAAGGTTCTGTGGCATCAGAAAAGATCTCTGACAGTCGATTGAGATTCTTGGTAAAAAGTTGGTAGCACTCCAGATGATAACCGTGCACATCTGAAATGTCTTCAAGAATGAGGATGCATGCTTCTTCCATTGCTAATTGTGTCAAGTTAGTTGAAATTCGTGAAATTGCACCCCGTATACATTTGATCATTCATTTTTATAAACAACAAACTATATTATAGCATATAATGGGATTAATGGCCAACTGCTGAATAAGTTGGCTCTGTCTGATACCTCTTCAGGCTGATACTATAAAAGGAAACAATGATGTATGTGGTAATATACTGTATTTGATTTAGTTTGGTGTTAACAGGCTAGCCCCAATAGTAATTTAAATACTGCTTGTTGAGCTTTTTTTTTTAAACAGGAACTTTAATTGAATGTACATTATATGTACAGAATGTAATCATCGTAATATGCGGGGGGGGGAGGGGGGGAACAAAATTTGCGGGAAACATCAGATAACATATCAATGAATAATATTACACCAAATTAGGGGGCTAGAAAACTTATTTCATGATAATAGCAGACAAAATACAACTTTTAGGTGATTTTGACAGGTTTTGAAACAGAAATTTGCATATTAAATATAAACAAATTTATGACGTCATTAATAATTGAAGACAATAAAATAAATTAAAATAATTTTGTCTACATGTTGTTGTATGATTTACAAAGATTGTTTATTAATTTGATGGAGGTTAGACTTATATCTGCTGAGAAACAGGGTAAAGTGTAAGCACATAATTCACAAACCCTAAGAAAATGTGCGATACACTGATATGTTTACATACAAAATAATGGGGAAAAAACAATGTCTACACGAGTTGGCTGAATTTTGTTTGCAGGAAACATCAGATAACATATCAATGAATAATTTTACACCAAATTAGGGGGTTTGAAAACTTATTTCATGATAATAACAGACAAAATACAACTTTTAGGTGATTTTGACAGGTTTCGAGACAGAAATTTGCATATCAAAATATATGCAAATTTATGACGTCATTAATAATTGAAGACAATAAAATGAATTAAAATAACTTTGTCTACCTATTTTTGTATAGTTTACGAAGATTTCTTATAAATTTGGTGGAGATTAGAGTTATATCTACTGAGAAACAGGGTAAAAGGTAAGCACATAATTCACAAACCCTAAGAAAGTGTCAGGTGCAAAACACGAAAAACTGACATTTTTACATATCTTCAAATAAGGAGCAAAAAAACAGTGTCCAAATGAGTTTTTTTCTTGGGAACATCTTTTTTCTTATATTATGGACCCCAATGAACAAAATGACACCCAAAAAGTAGGATCATAGGTGGGGTGCACGGTAGCCCCCTCTGGCCCACGGACTACTGCACATTATTGTCTCATACCGCCATACAATTTGGAAAAAGACTACCGGTAGATAGGTTCTGGCACATGTGCTATTTTTAACATTCAAATAAGTATAGGACAGCTCCCCCCCCCCCCCTCCCCACCGCTTCTATATCTTGAAAATTACTGTGGTAGAATGTGCAGTGAGAATATGTTATCGACATGACATGATGACATGATAACAGTGTGATTATTTTCTTTTTTTAAGTGACAAATGCTAGTATAAGGTTAATTTGTACACCTTATTTGTCTTGAATATTATCTTATTTGATAATGAATCTCAATTGAGTTGATGCTATCTGTTGAACGATTATTCATCACATAAATTGATTTGCTACAGTAGTCAATTGTATCAATTCATATATTTTATGTTTTCTAAATTCATCCCAGAATACATGGTTGCACTATGCAGTAAAAGGAATTCTGCAGTTGGAATTACCATTGACTGCGAAATGTGGAGGCAATCTGGTGAATATTGAAAACCCAAAGTAACTACTACTTCTCCAGCAGCAAGGGCTATATGATTTCACAGTTGGTGAGTGACTTAAAAATAACTTCATTTTTTGGCCTGGATGTGATATTAAAGATTATTCTATGCATCTTTTTCACAAAATTGAATACTCCCTATCTGGTACAGCCCACAAGCTAGACACCTGGTAGACTGTACAGGTAAAAAAAAAAGGCTGACAAGCTAGACACCTAGTTTTAAAAAAAGACCATGAGCTAGACTCAATACCTGTATTATGCATTTTTCTTTAGCTTGGGGGCCTTTTTGTAGTGTCTAGTGGGCTGTATGTGTCATGTGACATTTATATATACAAATACATCATGATGGAAACTTTTCTAGAAAGAGGGTTGTCATTCATGATTTTATTTTCCGTTTTACCATTGTGATCAATGCCTTCTTTCTTTTTATAAGAAGGTACATGTACATGTAAAGTGGGGTTTAAAAAAACGTACTTAGCAGAGTGATTTAAAGATTCATTGTTTAATTGTCATGATTGTCTGAAGATTTTTTGTCTCGTCTGCATAGCTAGAGCGAGACATAGGTACTGCTTTTTTCCTACGGCTGCATCAACAATTTAAAATCACTCTCATTTTTAATGGTTTTGATGGAAATTGCACATAACAAATATCAAGCATCACTTTATTATGTGGAAGAAATTTCATGACCAAAGTCAAGGTCAAAAGTCATTTATGTTTAATATTACTTCTGAAACTTTAAAATATGTATTAATTAGATAAAAATTGCACCCAATCGTTATTAAGGATCATACATATAGATTATGTGGAAGAATTTTTATATCCAAGGTCATGGCCAAAGGTTAATTATGGTCACTTGTGTTTTATTTTGCTTTAAAAATTCAACCTTATGTTAAATTCTCATTTCAAAAGTATATGTCCAAATTTCAGTAAACCTGCACCCAACAATTATGAGGAAGAAATTTCATCACCAAGATTAAAAATAAATTATGTTTTATTGAATGAATAGTGTTTATGTCCAGTGGTTGGTCATTTCACCTGTTTTTAGTTAATTTGGCCGAATGTTACCTACAGGTGTAATTTCTCATTACCGGTAGTCGGTAGATATCAATCGGTAGTGCTCATACTTAATAGGCAAATTGCGAGGTGCAGGCAAGACAACGCATGCAGTTTGACTTGTTTTACTATTTTATTTATGCCTATATCTTTATCTTTTTATTGATTTTCAGGTGGAGATGTACTAAACTTAATATGCTTGGTGCTGCAATCTATTGTACCAACAGTTCCAGGAATGTGATCACTCAAATTTACTTTTATCCTAGAGGTGCTGTGGTCTAGTGGATAAGTCATCCGACTGCAGGTCACAAGGTACAGGTTCGAGTCCCGCCGCAGCACTAATGTCATTTGGCAAGAAGTTAATCTACATTTGCCACTCTCCACCCAGGTGTTAAATGAGTATGTGGTAGGATGCAAAAGTTAATGTGGTTGGATGAGTGAGTGTGCATTTGTAAAATGGGGACTGGCCAGAATGCTCCCCAGGGAGTGGAGAACGTGCATACATTGTGTGCAGGTAAGCCTGAATCCGATGACCGGGGTGATAATATATATCTGTAAAGGGCTTAGACACATCGTTGTATTGATGTATCGGGTGCTATATAAAAGCGGAATATTATTATTATTACACCTGTATTATTATATGTGCGATTCTTAGCCTACCTAAGGTGGTTGTCTGCCATCTGTCTGTTTCATTTTCGTTCTAGCGATAACATTTGTTTTAAATGTGTTGAATTAACATCAGACTTGGCTCATTTATGTATATTGGACTGATCTGACCATGATCTGAGTAGATTTTGGGGTCATGTGATCAGAGGTCACGTACTTGTAGGTTGTTGTATACATGAAAATTGTTTGTTCTTGTGATAACTTAAGAACCATTTTACGAATCAACTGCAACCTGGTACATGCTTCAGATAGTTATCTCATTAAATATAGATTTTTTTTAGCTCATATCCTGAAGAAAAAATAGTCAACATGGATGTGCAATATATTTCAGATCTGGTGAGAATCCATCTAGTTAAGTTTTGTTGTTTATATCTTTAGTTTTCATTATCACTTTCATATAGCAAAATTATATATCTTTTCTAATAATACATGACTTGTACATATACATGTAAGTCTAAATAAAGGAAAAAGTTTATGCCGAAATTCAGGGTTTCACCGTTGCGAGCGGAACCATCCCACCCCACATTTTGGTAACTTCTCAATGCCCAGATCTCATCATTATTTGGGAATCAATGAAACAAATGCTATTGATTGAATTAACAGTGCCTTTTGAGACAAATACCAATGATGGTCACAATATAAAGCTTGACTGGTACAAAGAACTTGTGGCCGAAGTAAGAAACAATGGTTACAGTGTGACATACCATGCTATCGAGATAGGAGCAAGGGGAAAACAGATAGGGACAACACAAATAGGCTAAAGTGGGTACTCAGGAAATGTTCAGTCCCTCTTCGCTTGAATAGTTTCTTTCAGAATATAAGTAGATACGCAGTTTGTGTCATCCCTTTGTCATATTATATGCAAGAAAAGAATCATGGTGGGGGGGGGATGTGAAATACCTTGACCTTTAATCAGCACTTCTTTCTTCTCAATATTTATTCTTTTTCTTCTTTTTCTTATTTTGTCTTCTTCTGTGTCTTTTCTTCTTCTTCCTCGTCCTCTTCTTCTCCCCCTCTCTCTCATTCTTCCTCACCTACCTCTCTACCCTTCTCCTTTACTTCATCTGCTTGTTCTTTCTCTCCTCTCCTTTCTTTCTTTCTCCTACTTTCTCCCCTTCTCCAATTTATCTATACTAATAATAATAATATCTAATTTTTATATAGCGCTTAATACAAATGTCTCTATAAAGCACTTTACAAGTAGAATTACTTTTTTACACTTTATCTCGAAACTGTAATGTACCCTTTACTTTATCATCTCTTTAACATTTTTTTACATTGTTTCCTACTCCCAGCCTTTATCCACTTGCTCAATGTATGCATGATTAATATATAATTGTTACTATACATGATTGATATATAATTGTAACAATAATTGATCAATGATTAATATATGATTGTAACAATGCATGATTATTATATAAATGTAATTATGCATGATTAATACATATTTGTAATTGTAATGCATCACTGCTTTATTTGTATTACATGTTGTGTGACCTGCCATGCTTTTGGCAAGGGAAGGTGGACCTGGGGGATGTTTCACAAAGATCCTAAGTCGAAGTTAAAAATTATGGAGAGCCATTTGTAGTCTTAAAATAAAATATATTCAAAAGCGAAAATTCAAGTTTTTTAGACTCTTTATAAATTCCACATCAAGAACATGAAATTTCCTTGATAATAGAAAATATGAATGATTTGAATCAACATTTAATGCCTTTAAAATTCACTTTTACAAAATATTTTCATAGATGCTAACGGCTTTCCATAATTGTTAAGTCCAACTTAGAGATAAGTTCAACTTAGAAGGGGAGAAAGGGGGGGCCAGGGCTTGTAAATGTCTTTAAGTGGGAAAATAACGAATATTAGTTGTCAAATCGACATAAGAGCTATAGAGCCAGTAAGTATTGGTAATAGTCTGATTTTCAGACCATTTTACCGAATGGTCATACGTTTTATGCTGCGCAAAGATTCAATCAGTTTAATTTTGGCCATTACAAGAAGTGGGTTATTGATGTAGCAAATGCTCATGTACCCTTTACAGCTCAATGTATGTATGTTTTTACCAAAGAAGAAAAAAAGCCAGTTAGTCACTCAATCGTGTCCGACAGTCTAGTCTAGAAAGTAAACGGGTTTCCTTGCATAATTTGAATATTAGGACACTGCTAACTTTTAAATTTCACAGATTTAGATTTCACATACATGACATGTATTCATAATTCCTGCAAAACGGACACAGTATCTTTAAAATGTGTACAAACCTTACTTTTCATTCAACTGAATGAAATATTGAATTTTTAAAAATATGCAAAGATTTTTCATTCTGTCAATATTATTGCAAATGAATAGGTGAATGAAATTGTGTTATCGCCATGCACATCTTGGTATTAACAACTTTGCATAGTATGCCATTGTTTGAAGAAAAGAAAAAAATTATCAAGTTTTGCTGAGGATTGTACTTTATCGTACAGTCAACCTTGCATAAGTGGAACTCGTAGAACTCATAGAATATTGCCCAGTAAAGACAATTTATGTTAATGGAAGATTAAAAATAATAATCTATGTGATATATGTAAGATTCCAGACACAACTAACCACCTTCTCCTGGCTTGCAAGAAGGTTTCACTTTTTTGGAAGATTGTTTCCAAATTAATTGATACTTTGTTTAATTTTAAAATCTTTTTGAACGAAGAAATTCTTTTAATAGGTCATGAAATAGAGAGAAGAGAAATTAATCTTGTCAATCTTATTTTAAACTTCGCTCAGTTTATAATCTATAGAAACTATATTAGAGAATGTTTTGGGAGTGAAAAGCACAGGAAACATGCTGTATATTTGATAAAAGAATTAAAGGTGGAAATTCGCACCTATTTTAATATGAAATGTAATCAAAAGAAATTCGATACAAACGAAGTTACAAAAGTTACAAAAATGTTTTCATTATTTTAGTTAGTGATTATGTCACATTAGTTTCATGTCCTGTACTATGTATAATATGTTACAATTGCATGAATTTTGTATTTAAACACTGTTGTAAATAGCTGTTATTTTATGATATGAACAAATAAAGTCCCTCGAAAGAGGATAAATAAAAGAAGAAAAAAAAGTGGAACTCGATTAAATCAAAATGTTGTATTAGTCGAAGGTAATCTCAATACTCACTACTTATTGTCTATTGTATTTTGCCCATGTAAGTCAAAATTTGTCTAAGTTGAAACTATTTCATAAATCTCATTAGATTTAACTTATGCAATGTTGACTCTACATGTAATTGCTTTAAACCTCTTTCCCACACTTTACTGGTGAATCTTGTACGTTAATAATCATTAGGTTTCCTTCAAGACCGCATTTTTCTCTCTTACAAAGTGTCACTCTTCTGTCAGACATTCCCTCCCTCCCTTTCTGCTGTCACATGCATCATTTTCATTCACATCACCCTTGATATTCTCTTTCTTTTTCATGTTTCCATGATATCTTTGGTAATGCAGTTAATGCACCCCACTTCCAGATCTCATGCTCTTTTAAGAGACTCATCATTCTCAACACATGATCATTCCATCTCAATCAACTTCTCTTTACCACTTCCACCAGAGTTTCTTCTATGCCCAACTTTCACTCGAGCTGACTTGAAATGATAAACATGTTTAAAAAATACAATTTGGCTTATATAGCAACTTGCCATTTAATTTCTATTTTTATTTCAATTCAATACATTTCAGTTCAAATTATTGATTTATTTTAGGCTTTTTATGATCGCAAGAGTGTCGCCGAAGATTTCAGTGAAATAGCCTCTTCATATTAAAGTTATACTTTGAATGTTTGGAGCATTATTTTTTATTAGTTTGAAATATTATTCAATTTTTGCATACATAATGAGCCCTGTGACCTTTGACCTCGTGACCCCCAAATCTAATCAATTCATTGGCTCTGCAAGTTACATACATGACTAAAGTTTGGCGGTAATCCATCAATTGGTTCTTGAGATAATGCGATCACGAGAACGGGACGTACGTACGTACGGACGGACAACCCGAAAACATAATGCCTCCGGCTACTTCGTAACAGAGACATAAAAAAGGGGAGCCCTATCCTAATAATTACAGAGGTATAACCTTACTCAGTTGGTTTGGCAAGTTGTTTACTGCAGTTCTGAATGAGCGTCTTACTACATTTCTCAAATACAATAACTTGATTGGGGATGAACAACCTGGTTTTCATAACGGTCATCCAACGCTTCATCACATTTTTGTACTTCATACATTAATTGATTTAGATCTTTCCAATAAAGAAAAGTTCTTCTGTGCTTTTATTAATTATAGAAAGGCATTCAATCTTGTTGACAGGACTTCTCTTTGAAACAAACTTTTGAAAAGCAAAATTGATGGTAACATATGTATGATGGGGTGACCAAAGTTCGCAGAGATTTTGAAAATATATTAGAAAATGTGATATCGATCAATGATTTCTCATATTCTACACAAATGTGTTTATTTCAATTATTACCAAATGGACAGCAAAGTTTTTTACTAAAAATTGCTTCAACTAGAAAATTGATCGTGAAAGGATTCCGGAGATATCACGACCTAAAAATTTGATACAAGTGATTTGGTGCAGAAGGGTCCACTCGCAGGGGGCTGGTTGCTGGAGAGTCCACTCGGAGGGGTCTGGGTGCAGAAAGGTCCACTCGCAGGGGGCTGGTTGCTGGAGGGTCCACTTGCAGGGGGCTGAGTGCAGAAGGGTACCCTCCTGTAAAATAAAAAAAGGACAATATTTTGGAAGGTGGGGTCACATTGTTTATTATCTAAATGTGTTGCACTTCGACCTTCATTACTGTTATTCCCACATAAATTGCAAATTGAGAGAAGACTTGTCTTATTTAGGTGCCTTGGATCAAATACCATGCACGATCCGCCACGGCGGACTAACCTAAGTTCGCACGCGGGAAGGCTATATAGTCCCTCCCATGATCCTTTTCTATTATTTTTGTCTTAATTCAGCTCCTTCCTCCCTGTATCCTTTATATTATAGTCATGAAAATTTTAATGGTTTATGTCAATTTCTTAATGAGGAGTTATGCCATGTTTCACAGTGGTTTGATTGCAATAAGTTATCTCTTAATACTTCCAAATCTAGCTTTATATACTTCCATCATAGACACAATACAATTAGAGAAAATTTATTAACCAATCTTAATATTAGTTTGAATAATGTAATCATAAAACGTGTCCAATTTACAAATATCTTAAGGAGTTATTATCGATCAACATTTATAATGGATTGAACATATATTTACTATATCTAAACAAATATCAAGGAATGTTGGTGTCATCAGCAAACTGCGCCATTTTTTTGCCAGAATATATTTTAATCTTACTGTACATAAGGCGCGATAGCTCAGTCGGTAGAGCAGTGGTCTCGTAATCCAGTGACCCGGCTTACTAACAAGCATTTATTGCTTTCATTTTCATTGCTGTCAGGTAAATAACCACCACTATCAAAAATGCTATCAAAACAATTCAATGATTTTACCTATAGTAATTTAATGTATTGCAATGTTGTATGAGCCAATACATATCCCAGTAGGCTACTTGGATTATTGAAATTGCAAAAATGAAATTGTAAGAATATGTTCAATGTCTCACTACGCATTTTGACAACGCATTTAAACGGGTGACTCTGGGTTTCGATGCTAATGCATTATTATTCTGTATACAAATTGTATTTTAAATATTCCCCTCTAAATTTGTCTTTTGCTACTGCTACGGCGTTTACATCTACATTACTTATTTTTCCAGGAACCTATAATATACAAGCACTGATTTTTAATAGGTTCCTCACATTCTACTTAATCTTTTATATGAATTGAGAATCATTGAGACATGCACATTTATACATGTAGTACAATTGTATGTATAATTTTTTATTTTATATGTATGTCTATATTTTTTGTAAAATGTGGAACAATACAAATTTGAAACTTGAAACTATACTGCCCCTTCACAACCACTATTTACAAAACTTAATCTTCTCACTATCTATCAATTGAATGATGACTGTATCTCATTAATGGTCTTCAAACATAAACCTAACAAATTATCATATAATCTTAGGCTGGGGACTGCCTTGACAGAACCTCTATTTGGTTCTTTTGCAGTTTCCCATTTCATGTTCATTATCTATTTCTGTGCTGCAAACTTGTTCATTTTTTACTCTTGTCTATACTTCTCTTTCTAATTTTGTGGTTAAAGTTCAATATGTACTATACTGTGTATCCTACATGTAATTATGTTCTTGATGTACAATGTGTTTTCAATTTTTTTTGTTTCCCTGTTTAATGCTTTTTTGTTATGTAATTTTGATTATTTTGCTCAAAATCTATCACAATCACTAACATACTGTATATACATGTATGGCGCATAATATGTGAACCCAACATATATAGCCATAGCGTGAAAGGCGATTTTAATAGAGAGGAGGGGGGGGGGTGCACATGTATGTTGCAATTAGCTAATATTATGTTCTTGTATTTGCGCCAGGCTTCAAGTTTTCAAACGATTGTTTTCAGGAAAATTGTTCTGTTGCACCTATATTCCACCTGGTGATCCACTCACATTCGGATCCCAACATTTAATTACGTTCTTTATCAAACCAAAGTGATTCAAAATTTTTGAATCCAATGAATCGTCTTCAGTTTATAAGAAAAAAAACCATTCTTTATCAAGCTTAGAAAAGTATTACAAAAGATATAATTCATAAAATCTCACAACGTTTGAGAGGTTTATTTTGCCCTTTTGTTTTTTTGTGTTATTGTTGTTTTTTAAATTTGTTTTATACCAGTGTAAATGTGTTAGATTCTTTTCATTTTATATATCAAAACTTTGATAGACTTTTGATCTTTGTTTGTTCCTCACATTTTCATTTAACTTATAGTTGATTGTTTTATTGAATTCCCTCCCATGATCCTATTCTATTATTTTGCCTTAATTCAGTTCCTTCCTCTCTCTTTTCCTTCCTCTCGATCACTCTTACTGTTTCATTTTATATTGTTATTTCTGAACTCTAAATATAATATCCATCTTCCTTAATTCGCTTGCATTTATGTCAACTTTAACAAGCAATATGATTTTGTTGTTCTTGAATCCATGTCTAATACTTTTTGTTATCTAATTTCATATCATAATCATATCATCATTTCATTAGCCATAGCATGAAAGGCGAGTTTAATAGAGAAGGGGGAGGGGAGGGGGTCGAGAAACAAAGGGTAAGCGTTGACCCGTGTATTGTTTGTGACATCTATTCAATACACGACTGTTTAATGCGCCCATATAGGCCGGAGGGGTTGGGCAAAGGCAGCATTGAATGTCCGAGATGCCATCCTCTCTTTTCCTCCCTCTCGATCACTCCTATTGTTTCATTTCATATTGTTTATTTCTGAACTCCAAATATAATATATCCATCTTCCTTTGCTTGCATTTATCTTTAACTAGCAATATGATTTTGTTGTTCTTGATTCCCTGTTTAATACTTTTTTGTTATCTAATTTCAATTCATTTGCTCAAAATCTATCACAATCACTAACATATATATGGCGCATAATATGTGAACGTGACGTAGCCATAGCATGAAAGGCGAGTTTAATAGAGGGGGGGGGGGGGTCGAGAAACAAAGGGTAAGCGTTGACCCGTGTATTGTTTGTGACATCCATTCAATACACGACTGTTTAATGTGCCCATATAGGTTGGCAGGGTTGGGCAAAGACAATGTTGAATGTCCGAGTTACGTAACAGCCTTGGGTTAAGGGTGGGGGGGGGGGGTGTGACCAAAGTGAAAAGAGGGTTTGGTCAGCTTTCAAGCAGCTAAGATTTTTTGAAAGGTATGAATCAGAATGTGTTTAATAGCAAAGAAAAAAATACTGTTTTGCGGAGCGAAAAGTTTTTGCTTGTTTTAAATTTTCTCTCTTTTTTTTGGACTTTAAAGCTCCCATAGGTCAAGTTTGTCACTGTTGCCATATTCTTCAGCCATAGCAGTAAGCTGCCAGAATTCTAGTCAAGTCTGACTAGTTCATCAGTTTACCATCAGTTGCTGTACCAGTATTCTCAACAAAGTTTTGTCCCACCATTATAAACTGGAATATGAACTCATAAAACAGAAAATAAGATGGATTCAAGTCAAACTCTACATAACTGTACTGAACTCATTAGCATAATGCATGCGTGGCATTGATTCCAAATTGGCCGCGCCCATGAGACATACTTTTATTCATGTGTTTTTCCAGTTAAATAATAATTGACAAAACAGAATTACAGTAAAAGGGAAATATAGTTTTATGTCATTTATAAAGTAAAAAGTGTATATTTATAGACGTCCTGAAAATAAAGGAATGTTTATTATTGTGCATACAATCTTGAATTTTATGCAGCTTGTTTGGGTGACTAAAGTTGGTCTGTAAAATTTGATTTAGATTACAAGACACTGTTTATTGACTTGGTGAAAGGTAAAGCTTTGCACCTCTGGTATGGTATTTTGAGTAAGAATTGAAAGAAAGTGTTTATTCAGAACTCAAAAGGCTTACTGTAGTACAGGTGTACATGTACATTTCAAGTGTAGATTACAGGTGCAAATTACAGGTGCAAATTACAGGTTATGCCAGTTAGTTTATTTTGTATCAAGTGTAATCTATAGATTATTACTGGAAAAAATCCTGTGGTTTAAACAATTCTTGATTGCAAAGTTTTAGAGCAAGTCAGATATTTAAGTTAAATTCATTAAACAGTGTTGTATTAAATGAAGACATTTTATAAGACAGTTTTTTATAGGCGAGCAGAGATATGCAAATTAAGCGCCTGTCAAAGCCAGTGGAAGGTCATACAATACATTTAAAGTGACAATCCAATATTGAGGTTTAGCACAAATTTATGCTTTGCAGACAGATGTGCATAAACAAGCTTGTGTATGGATGCAAGATAGAGATATTTACAGTTATTTTGGTTTATGCAAATTGGCAGTAATCTGTTTAAAGGGCCACTCTAACCCAACTAACCTAGCCTTACAAAACATGAATTCACCTCTACTTATTACTATTCCAGCCTCTGATTTTTCAGAAAATCTCTAAATTGACCCAAAAATGCAAATAGCCATCCATTTTTCACAGTTCTCATGCTTGCTGGGCTACGCCCCTCAAAAAAAGGTAACATGGTCACGTGGCTTGATGACACATTTGACGTCATTGCGGGCATGTCCGATTTGATAATTTCATAATTAGGAATGACAAAATTGCCAGAAACGTACTGGGATTATCAAGTGCATATTATTTTTTTGATAAATATCTTTAAAAAAAATTAATTAATATCATAGTTTGCCTTTTTAAAGACATTTTAATGCCTAAATCACCCTCCTTTTCACCGGAGAGGCGCCTGCAGTGACGTCAAATGCATCATCACCGAAACTGGGCTTTTTTCCTGCGCATTCTGAGTCATCATTATTAAAGCTAGATTCCAGAATTGTTGACGATATCTAAGAAAAATCATTGTCATGTTCGGAATCTCCGCCAAAAATTATTCTACATCTCTTTTAAATTTTTTTTAGCCCATTTTGGTTAGAGTGGCCCTTTAAAGGAAAGCCAAGTCAGTTTGAGAAACTCTGAAAATATGAGTTTATCAAGTAGTGCATATTAGGAAATGCAAAAGGTTCGTAGCCATTGTTTACTCTGAATTTTCGATAGGTAAAGGATGAGGTCAAGATTGACAGTTTATAGTACAAAAGCAAAATGTCTTTTAATAAATAAATGTTTATAGATACAGTTACTTGGCATAGTCATATATTTTGTATTGTATCTTGTGTAACATGAACCATGTACTAAATCTGTCATTGTTATTTTACATGTTTTGCAGATCAAATGAAAAAGCCTAACATCCTAAACTTCTATTTTTCCCTTTCTTCAACTATTCAAATACTAAGCTGGAAGAATTGTTGTACATACTTTAATTTTTTAGCCATGTTAAGCTTCACTCAATCATTGAGTAATAAATGTAAATATGTATAGAAATTATAGAAATAAAAACCTTGCTTGAGAATAAGACAAAAAAAAGAAGGCTGCTGTTTTTGTTGTTGTTTGGTTTTTACGGCACTGTCATTCAAAGAGTTCACATTTTGCGCCATTCATTTATAAATGATAATCTTTTCATGAGTGTTCCGAAAATCAAATAATTGTGAACATAACCCCACAAAATAATAAGTTTGGAAGAAAAAAATGTGACAAATAAAGCTACAACAAAGCGAAACATATTAAAGGAAGAAAGGGCATGAATGTACGACTTGTATAAATGTTTGATATATAAATTTTCTTGATAAGTTCTCCCTTTGGGGGAAGGGAATCTGAATTCTGACTTTACATAGCAGGGGCTGTGGAGTGTTTTTAAAAGGGGGGAGCGCCTGAGCATTAACAATTTATAAACCTGTTTTTTTGAGATTTTATGATACGTGTCTACTAACGCTCTCGCCTGCATTACGCAATTCGATATGATGAAAAATTGAGGTTGGGACATTATTTATAGGCAGGGTGGCCCATTAACAGCCCCCCCCCCAAAAAAAAAAAATATATATAAATATATATATATATATATATATATCGTCGGTGGGGTGACAAAACCCAGTATCTCAAAAATCATGAATTTTCAGGAGAGCGAAAAAACTTTCCTGTCTCAATAAATTTAGTGCTGTGACACTGTCCTTTCTTTTTAAAACTGGAATATTTATATTATAATTTTTAATGTCATTGTTGAAATACAGTAAAATAATTGTTTTTATATTTGAAAGTGAGTTACGAGATTTTTGCGTTTATCTACATTGAGATACAAGTTTTGAGTTTGTATTCAAATTGAGATACAAGTTCTTACTTTCAACTCTGAATGAGTTACGAGGATTTGGTTGAATAAGTTACGAGGATTTGAATACACTAACTTCGGTACTGTTAGGCCGTGTGTGAGTTACGAGGAAAAGGAATTACGTATCTTATGATACAAGGTTTTGTCAGTGCAGCTTCAAAGGGGGTTAAAGTTACGAGGTTTAATTTAAGGGTGTTTGTGTGGAATTTGTGAGAAAAAAAACAAGAAAGAGGCATTCCATGGATTTATCAGGTGGTGTCGTAGGCCATTAGGTACAAACTTATGCAAAAAAAATCAAAATCTCACAAAATTGAGATACATGTACAAGGTTTTGTCACCCCACTAACGATATACTGGTATATATATATATATATATATATATATATATACATTTGAAATCCTCTGAATATAATCAGCATTTTGAAGTGAATATTGGCTAAGAATCATCAGAAGAATTATTTACTATAATTTGTACCAAGAGTGATTACTTTAATGGAATATCAACAAATAATAAAAATTGCTTTATCAATCATCATATTTAGTTATGAAAACATAATGATTTATTGATTCTCATATTAAGTTGTGAAAACATAACCAAGTCTACTCACCTAAATGACTTTTGACCTTAACTTTGTGACCTGGAATTTGAGTCATATGATCTGTAATACTTGATAACCCTTCTGTACAAGTTTCATGGAATTTGAACAAATGCTTTTGAAATTATGCTAAAAATTCAAAATCTCGATGTTGATACCACAACAAAGAAAAAGTTTGCAGACCTTAAATTACATTTGACGTTTACTTTGTCACCTAAAAGACTAATCACATGATTGATGATACTTGATAACCCCTATGTTTCATGGAAGTTTCATGGAATAGGAATGTATACTTTCAAAATTAAGATAAAATTCAAAACTGTAACTTTTTGTTAAGTTTAGATGTTGATGCCACAACATAGTCCAAGTTTGTTGACCTGAAATGACCTTTGACCTTAACTTAGTGACCTGAAATTCTACTCACATGATCGGGGATGCATGATAATCCTTTAGTGTAAGTTTCATGGAATAAGAACTTTACTTTCAAAATTATACTAAAATTTCAAAAACTTAACCTGAGGTCGTGTTATTGATGTTGACGCCTTCGCCGCCGGAAAAGCGGCGGCTATGTCTCGCTTTTCGCTATGCAGGCAAGACAAAAAAGTGGGTGCTGTCCCCCCAGTCCCCCAGTTCTGTGGCACCTGCATGGTGTAAGAGTTAAAAGCACAGAGCCCCCAAGCATCGCATGAATAAGGGGATTAGGACAATCACAGCTTTCACACAAACTAGGCTGCATTGCAGGATGCACGCGTGATTACAGCCACTTGAATTGATCCAAAGCGCCTTACAGATCACCTTATGTTTATTAAAATCTACATGTATGTACATACACATTGCCTAAATTATTTTGTTGTGATATCTTACAAGAAGAACTAACATTACAATTACTTTCTATTCCCACTCACAAAGGACTGGATGCAGAAGGGTCCACTCACATGGGCCTGGGTATTGGAGGGTCGCACTCACAGGGGCCTGGGTGCGAAAGGGTTCACTTACAGAGGCCTGGTTGCTGGAGGGAACACTTGCAGGAATTTGAGTGCAGACAGACTCTTTAAAAATATAGGATAATATTTTGTAACGTGTTGGTAACTTTGTTAATATCTAAATATGTTACATTATGATCTTATTAATACTCTTTTTTATAACTATATATTGTATGATGATTGTATTTACAAGTCACCAAGACATATATTCTTTACTATTATTTATCATAAAAATCCAAATTTCAAGAGGACTGGTGTTTATGCACATCAAAATATTTTCTATTATAATCAATATCTACATGTATAAACATTAACCTAAATTATATTGTTATGATATATTACAGGATGAAATAATTAGTGCACTTACTCTCTATTTCTCTGAGAGAAGCAAGTGGAACATCGTCATTTTCAGACCCAGCTTTAGATTCTGTGTCAAAATCAGCAATGACTGTCACTGTTCCAGGCCAGGGTCCATCAGTTCCAAACTGTCTAATTCATCACCGCTCTAGACCCCAATTTCAGTCTTGCAGTGTAGCACAATTCATTCTTGAGAACTGTATTTTCCTGACCATCTCTGTCCCACTGAACAAGCACTATGTCATTGTCACTAGACAATGACATCCTGTACAGAAGTATGGAAGTGACACGTTAGAAATGATACCTTTTGGGGGTTCAAATAAATACTCAACATACTAGATGGCTCAAGGCAGTATACACACATATGTGTTTGTATGCATAAACAACTGCAATCATTTAGAAGTTCATGAACCAGGATTATTTCAGAACCCATTTTTTATCATTAGAGTGTTAATATTTGTTTATCTTATGCATTCTCCTGAACATAATAAAAACAGAAAAGAATCATTGAGGCTGTGAAATACCTACTGAAAAATTAGGTATTGCAACACTGACAGGGCATAACAAAAAACCTAGATTCATAGCAAATAAAATGTTATGTACATGTACATGTACATGTATGTACAAGACTACTTCTGATAGCCAGAAACATCAGTACTGTAAAGCCTAAAGGATGAATGCATTAAATAAATAAGTAGAATTTTCCCTGTACTGTCCCATGATTGGATCAATAAGTACAACTGTGTCAGATAATTCAACAAATATGTACCTGGATTAACTTTACAGTAGATGTCAATATGAGAGCTGTTGGGCTAGCAATTGTTGTAGCTTCACATGTCACGCCTGAAATTGGAAAATTGAAACGCACATCACAAATCATGGTAAAAATGGAGAAAATGTTGGAGAAGTAACTGGGTTTCCTTGCATGATTTAAATACTAGGACACTGCTAACATTTAAATTTCACAGATAGGACATGTACATGATATATTCATAATTCCTGCAAAAAATTCTACAGAATTCGATGTAGGCTGCAAAAGGGACATAGTATCTTTACGGAGAAATATAATATTTGCTCTAATATTATACATTAAAGGGGCTGTAGCATGGGAAATGCTGGTTGACGCCATCTACGTCTTCTTTTGGACAACTGTACGTAAACGAATGGACTTGATTAACTGGGTCAGGGTCGCGAAACAAATAAAAACAAAGTTCTCCTCATGCTTCAGTTTCGCGTATGTTGCATGCATGTGAATACGTAGTCCTTCTGCAGTCGCGTCGTCCGTAGTCATATTATACCCGATTTTTCCCGAGTGGGCCTTGGGAAAGACGCATACCGGTAGCCCCTTGAAGGGGAAATAAAGTACTTGTACAAACATTACACATTAAGGGGAAATAAAATGTTTGCCCTAATATTATACGTTAAGGGGAAATATAATATTTGCCCTAACATTATACATTAAGGGGCAATTTAGTATTTGCCCTAACATTGATTATACACTAAGGGGAAATATAATATTTGCCCTAACATTGATTATACATTAAGGGGAAATATAATATTTGCCCTAACATTGATTATACATTAAGGGGAAATATAATATTTGCCCTAACATTGATTATACATTAAGGGGAAATATAATAATTGCCCTAACATTGATTATACATTAAGGGGAAATATAATATTTGCCAAAACATTATACATGTACATAAAGGCCGGGGAAATATAATATTTGCTCTTACATTATACATTTAGGAGAAATTTAGTATTTGCCCTAAAATTATACATTAAGGGGAAATATAATACTTGCCCTAACATTATACATTAAAGGGAAAATAAAATACTTGCACTAACATTATACATTAAGGGGAAATATAATGAATGCCCTAATATTATACGTTAAGGGGAAATATAATATTTGCCAAAACATTATACATTAAGAGGAAATTTAATATTTGCCCAAAAATTTTACATTAAGGGGAACTATAATATTGCCCTAACATTAAACATTAAGGGGAAATATAATATTTGCCCTAACACATGCTTTATTTGCCTTGTTAATATGTGTTGACTGCATAGGGTGTGTAGGCCCTATACTATATATAATTTGAAAAATAAAAAGGAGTATAGGTAATAAGAAACAAAATCACAAGAAAAGGACCTAATAATAATGATATTAATAATAATAATGATGACAACCACGACGACGATGATGATAATAACAATAATGATAATAACCATAATAATGATAATAATAAAAATGATAATAGTAATAATAATAATAATAATAATAATAATAATCAGAAATAGATCTAGACTACTCATTGTGAATAATACACAGGTGTGAATGTGTTATGGTCGTTGCAGCGCATGAGGGTATTCACTATGGTGCAATAAAATTATTGAGGCGTAGCCGAGTGTATTTTGTGCCAACGTGAATAGCGCTGCATCGCCATAACGTCATAAACAAAAACCTATGTATTTCAATTTCAATTTCCAATCATAAATATCTTGATAATCAGGCAGGCGATCGGCTTGTAAAAGACATGGGGTTTCTGACTGACCTAATTAATTATGATGGTAGCACAAGCTAAATCCAGGATTTCGTTTCAGAATCCAAGTCAAAGTTACCCTACTCTAGCATTAATCCCAAATGCTATAGTGAAGTGAATCAGTTCCTAAAAGCGATATTGCTTTTAGGAGTGATATTGTGCCTAATTCCTAAGGCTAAATTAAATCAAATGTAACAGCAAAGTGAGTTTAGAATTAGACTTCGACTCGCTAGATCTATCATCTAGATCTAGAGCAATTTTCAATTCAATGAAGTCAATTCAATTCAATTAAGTTTATTCATTTCCATAAAAATCACATTACAAAAAACACATTCATATAATAACATGCAAAATCTTTCACAAAAATATACACAAGTATAAGTACATTAAAATATTAAACAATAATGGAAAAAGGGGAGTTATAAAAACCCAAATAAATAATTTTGCCGAGATATCTCCCCAAAATATAATTAAACAAATTCTGATGAACATAATAAAGATTTGAAATTATATAAACTAATTTTGCCCCAAAGAAAACTCGTATAAAAAAAATATTTAACGTAAAAAAAATGGGATAAATTTTTAGCTGTTAGACTAATCGTTATAAAAAAAGTGTTAGTGAATCACCCCAGCCATTTTTTCTATTGTGTATTGTTCATGTACTTTAGTTTATGTAATGCCAACGAATTAATTTCCAAATGGACCAATAAAATTGGGCAATCCTATACTTTAGATAACCTAAAATTGATCTGAATCTGAATGTAGCTGTGTACTCACTCAGCTCAGCTCAGCTCAGCTCGGTAGGCAGTGCAGTAGGCAACTTGCCAACTCCAGGAAGCTCTGCCGCCACGCCTTGGGGGGCGCAGCTACCTGGAGTTAGCTCCTCGCGAGAGCCGCCAGACTTCCCGGCAAGCGAGTCTTACTTTCACTTTGGCAAACTTCGAAGCTTCGTTAGCAATTAGCATCATTCTGCTCATCTCAAGCGGCGTTATCTCGTATTAAATTATTTTCACGTATTTTCAAAATCCTAAAATAGCGAGTAGTCACAAGATAAATGTAATAGGTATCAATATTTTCCGATAATTAGACATTTACCGTACAACTTGGATTCCCGAAATTCGAAATCACAGATTATTTGTTGTTGTTGTTGTAACATAATAGTGGTATCTTCAATGTACAAATGTTGAAAGAAATTTACAGTGTTATGGAGGGCGAAGTGTGCGATCGTGAATTACGTGGTCGGGACGCGATCGGGACAACCACTGCAGCTTGCAGTGGTTGTCCGAGACAACGACTGCGAATTATCGAGCGGTTTACATAGACTCGCGTATGTTAGCTGGACAACCACTGGAAAAATTTAGGACAACATCTGCAGATTATCTCTCTCTCTCTCTCTTTCTCTCTCCCACCCACCTTCCTTTGCTCTGTTTCTCTCTCTCTCTCTCTCTCTCTCTCTCCCTCTCTCCCTCTGTTCCTCTCTCTCTACCTCTCTCTCTCTCTCTCTCTACCTCTCTCCCTCTCTCCCTCTGTTCCTCTCTCTCTACCTCTCTCTCTCTCTCTACCTCTCTCTCTCTCTACCTCTCTCTCTATCTAGCTTTCACACACACACACACACACACACACACGCTTATATCTGACCTTTCAACATGATCATATACTCACTTTCCATTAGAAAGCAGATAGAATGCGATGGCAGTTCCAATGACTTCCTGCATGTCAGAACCGATGATAGCTATCTCCACCATGATCCAGAGAAAGATGCGGGGGTACTTAGGATACTCCCGGTAACACACCTCCGCGAGATGCAATCCAGTGACCACGCCCAATCTGGCTGCCAGTCGCTGGAGAAGCAGACCCAGGAGGGTGGCAAACATCAGTACCCATAGCAGCTGAGATGGAGATAAATCAGGTTAAAAGATATATGGAGTTCATGAAGACTTAAAATTCAAAATTCAAACTTTATTAATTTTAATCCAAACAGATAGGATCATTCTCAATTTTTGTACATTGGATAACAAATTTTCAAGTTATACAGTAGGCTTGCGGGTGCACCATGTGAGAGAGAGGGAGGATTGATGAGTCCTGAAAAGGACTCTCGGTAATCTTTCTTGAGGGTTTTGTTGTCCTGAAAAGGACTGTTGGTATAGTCTTGAAAAAGACTGTTGGTTATCTTTCTTAGCTTATAGTTCTAAGGAGAACTAAAGATAACCAACAGTCTTTTTCAAGACTATACCAACAGTCCTTTTCAGGACTACAAAACCCTCAAGAAAGATTACCGAGAGTCCTTTTCAGGACTCCTCAATCCTCCCTCTCTCTCACATGGTGCACCCGCAAGCCTACTGTATATCTACATCACCATGCAAGCCAACACTTACAAGCAGCATCTAAATTTCAAGTTATTGTGTAACATATAATTGCTAGATTATTGACATAGTTTTTTTAAAGGCAAAGAAAATAAAAAAGGAAAGTCTGACTTTTAATATTTATAATTCTTTTTATAAAGGTATTATAACAAAGAGAAGTTAAGTTGAAATTGATCAAACACAAATGAGTAAATCTGTGACGTCTGTCAAGCACCTCTTCCACTTTCTACATGTATCTCATTCAATTTTGGAGACAAAAATAATGTTTCGTAGGTGACACATTTCACAGAATCATCCAACATAATTCTGAGTTGAAGGTGAACTTACGTTGAAATTTGCGATGAATCCTGATTGGAGGTCAGACTCGATGTTACCTGGATCCAGATACGCAATGCTCATTAGAAAGCCAGGTCCAGTGAACGCCCATAACTTACGGAAACTGAAGGCGTACTGAAGAGAATGAAATAGAAAAACAATGATCTCTACAAATGCATACCTGGGCCCTGTTGCATAAAACTTACTATTGATGGTAACTTTGCCATCGATCTTAACTACCACGGTTAACATCTCTTAACCAAAGGACTGATGGCTTCAGGTCCTCTCTGAGAGACCTGGTAATGAGGAGTAATGCCTTACAAAAGGGCACTAGGGCATCGCCTTGGTTTTGAACCCGGGTCCCTGGATTACGAGACCACTGCTCTACCAACTGAGCTACCGCGCCTCCTAGTTACAAGTTATTCCATTAACCCATTATCAATGAATGAAAAACAATACTCAGAATCCAGATTGCATACATGACTTGTTGCTATGTCAAGCAAGCTCCGGGCAGGTTTTCAGGTTAGGAAGAAGATCCTTTGTTTAAAAAGTATGCATAAAATTTGAAAATGTTTGTAAATTGAAGAGAAATTATTATTGATTTTATGCATGCATGTATCAAACCAACCAGATGTACCATGAAGAACACATTTTTTTGTTTCAAATAAATTATCTTGGACCAATACTGTGCATCCCCTTAAAGACTGCATGTAGCACAATATCATACATGTAGCATTTACTACAGGAGGAAGTGGAAGTGATAAAAAGATGATTGTTGATACGCAATCTTTCCTTCAATTTAAGTAGATAGGAAAGCAACTTGACTGTAAATTATTACTAAAGGAAGTATCAGGTGGCTGGCTTTCCTTCTAACTTCTTCTAACTTCCTCTATGTGAAATACCCTCCCTCTCCTTTCCATCAATTGTTGCCAGTGAAAACGTGATGCAACCCTTCACACTATTTAAGTCAAAGTGCCTCTGACCCTCGGTGGGGAATACAGGCTCCGTGGCAAGAGAGAGATAGAGAGAGGGGGTGGTGTAGGACCCATGCTCCTGTGACAATTCCTCCATAGTCAATATCCTGTACTAGCCACATTCTTACCTTCAAACTTGAAGCAAACACTGTACTTAACCCCTTACTCCTATAAACCCTAACCCTAAACCCTGACTCTTAGCTTTAATAACCATAACTACTTTCTTCACTTCAAACCTGAAGCAAACACTGTACTTAACCCCTTACCCCTAACCAACCCCTAAACCCTGACCCTTACCCTAACCATAACCACTTTCTTCACTTCAAACCTGAAGCAAACACTGTACTCAACCCCTTACCCCTACCCCTAACCCCTAACCCTAAACCCTGACCCTTACCCTAACCATAACCACTTTCTTCACTTCAAACCTGAAGCAAACACTGTACTTAACCCTTACCCCTACCCCTAACCCCTAACCCTAAACCCTTACCCAACCCCTAACCATAACCACTTTCTTCACTTCAAACCTGAAGCAAACACTGTACTTAACCCCTTACCCCTAACCAACCCCTAAACCCTGACCCTTACCCTAACCATAACCACTTTCTTCACTTCAAACCTGAAGCAAACACTGTACTTAACCCTTACCCCTACCCCTAACCCCTAACCCCTAACCCTTACCCAACCCCTAACCCCTCAAGCCTGATCCTTACCCTAACCATAACTTCCTTCTTCACTTCAAACCTGAAGCAAACACCGTTCCTACCTAACCCTACCCCTTATCCTAATTGTAACCCTAACGTAAAACGCTAATTGGAATCCTTGCTCTACACATGTCTATTATTAACAAAATAAAGCCCCCACGAAATTGTCACCAGACCGTGCAGTGTATGTGGGAGCACTATGAGTATACAAATGGTGCACACTTGCACAGGTTTGAGTGCGTCGATAGGAATTGTGTGCACAAGGTACTTATGCATGGTTTGAACCCACGAGGCATGAAATTAAAACATTAACAAAATTGTAATGACTTACCTTCACATTAAAATACACACTTTTTTAAAATTAAAAATAAAGAAAAGAAAAGAAGAAGGAAAAAAAATTCCAAAAAAATTATAAGAATGATTTTTTTTTAAATTTAAAACGATTATAACGTTTAAAGAAAAAAGAAATATAGAAGGAAAAAAAAGAAAAAAAAAATTATAAGAATTTTTTTTAAAGGGATATCGGTGGAATCGATTCTCAACATCGCGTGCATACAGTAAAATTATCTACACTGTAATTGACCAATCAGATTGCAGGGATTATTCTCCCTAGCTTATAATAAAGGATGAGTGACAAGTTAAAGATCTAACATTCTCTTCTAAATCTAACAAATAAACATTTATAACCTAAATCTATATTGCAACAATAACCCTATTTCTTTAACAAAATACACAAGGCAAAACTGTTACCAATCACCAGAGAATATGTCGAAGACCAAAAGACAGGGGTGTATAAATTAACAGGTTACACTGTAAGCAATTAGTCAGACCAATCAGTAACAATTTAATTTATAATGGACCAATATCTAATATCACACACTAACTTTTTTGAAAAAGGTCCAGCATGGAACTTTTTACCGTCTGTATGCATAGCCCTATGCTAACGTTTTGACATATTTTGGGGCTCTGGACTTAGCATGAGCAGTATGCTTACTTTGCATGAGCCCTGTATTAACGTTTTGACATATTTTGGGGCTCTGGACTTAGCATGAGCAGTATGCTTACTTTGCATGAGCCCTGTATTAACGTTTTGACATATTTTGGGGCTCTGGACTTAGCATGAGCAGTATGCTTACTTTGCATGAGCCCTGTATTAACGTTTTGACATATTTTGGGGCTCTGGACTTAGCATGAGCAGTATGCTTACTTTGCATGAGCCCTGTATTAACGTTTTGACATATTTTGGGGCTCTGGACTTAGCATGAGCAGTATGCTTACTTTGCATGAGCCCTGTATTAACGTTTTGACATATTTTGGGGCTCTGGACTTAGCATGAGCAGTATGCTTACTTTGCATGAGCCCTGTATTAACGTTTTGACATATTTTGGGGCTCTGGACTTAGCATGAGCAGTATGCTTACTTTGCATGAGCCCTGTATTAACGTTTTGACATATTTTGGGGCTCTGGACTTAGCATGAGCAGTATGCTTACTTTGCATGAGCCCTGTATTAACGTTTTGACATATTTTGGGGCTCTGGACTTAGCATGAGCAGTATGCTTACTTTGCATGAGCCCTGTATTAACGTTTTGACATATTTTGGGGCTCTGGACTTAGCATGAGCAGTATGCTTACTTTGCATGAGCCCTGTATTAACATTTTGACATTTTGGGGTCCGTTCGTCCAGAATTAATAGATTTTGGGCCCTTTATGTCTCAGGTGCCTGTTAGTGGAAAGCCCTGCAATAAGGTTAACAAAACTTGTCAGACCTAACTGATTTTCTCAGCAATAATATAGTTGGTTCTGTCAACAAACTGTATGGACACTGCCTCCAGGCCTTTTACTATTACATCAAAGTAGTGCAAATATTGGCTCACAGATATTGTCATTGAGGTGCTTTCTATACAAATTCTGTGGCCTGGTGATCGAAACAAGATGATGAAACTATTGACAAGGGCTCAATTTGTGATGGTCCGACTTAAAATGATTTCAAATTCATGTACCACATAAACTGTAAGGGAGTGATTTAGGAGCAATTTATCATTCCAGGGGGGTGTTTCACAAAGATCCTAAGTCGAACTTAGCTCTAAGTTGGACTGAAAAATTATGGAGAACTGTTTGTAGCCTTAAAATAAAATATATTCAAAAGCGAAAATTAGACTTTTAAAAAATTCCACATCAAGAACATGAAATCTACTTGATAATAGAAAATATGAATGATTTGAATCAACATTTTATGACTTTTAATAAATATTTACTAAATATTTTCATAGATGCTAACAGCTTTCCATAATTGTAAGTCCAACTTAGAGATAAGTTCAACTTAATAGGATCTTTGTGAAACACCCCCCAGTTATGGTAATCAGTGAGGCTGACCAGGCCTGAACAGCTTACATTTTCTCGGTCCGGAATCGGTATTCTTTCATCAAAGTAAGTTCTACCATTCTCAGCTATCAGTTGTATGTCACTTGCTTATGCGACAATTGCTCTGCACCAGCTTCCTACACTAATTCCTGAATTCAACCCTCGACCAATCCCTTTGACAATATACCTTTGATGGAATGAAACCTGAAGCAATTATTGCAAGAGCAAATGTCAGGTTACATGAATAATAGTGGCAGGTTAACAACTTACATTTTCTTGGTCTGGAATTGGTATTCTTTCATCAAAGTAAGTTCCACCATTGTCAGCTGTCGCTTCATACTGTGACTGACGTCCATTGGACAGGACTGGATCTGGGAAAATATTTTTATTTCAAATGTGTTATTAAAGCCACACTGTACTACTTGTAGCTACTTGCTCCCTCTATATAGAAAACAATGCCTAAAAGGTGACCATTGGTCCTCTTTTTCTTATGTTAATTGAGAGCTGAGTTGACAAGATAACCACCTGTCCAGTGACCTTGCAGGGTGGCCTAATCCCTCCTATAAACTAGTTCAAATAAGCTATAAGAGATGTGGAGAAATAATAATGTAGTATGATGATGGTGCTATGCATGCAGCAAAGTAAATTTCAGAATTCAAGATTCAGGTTTTATTGTCCATATGAAATAATAAAGAAATTTTAGCATAAATACAAAATGTTTATTGTTACACTTTTTTTTTAAGATTTTTTTTAAAGGTTGAAACTTTTTGGGAAAACTTGGTACTGCCATGGCCACCACTATTTAAGAGATGAATAGATTAAAAAGACAAAATATTGAAGAGATGAATAAATCAAAAAGACAAAATATTGGAGATTAATAAATCAAAAAGACAAAAATATTGAAAAGGTGAATATATTGAATAGATGAATATATTAAAAAGAGGAATAAATCAAACTGAATAAAATATTGATGAGATGAATATATTGAATAGATGAATATATATTTAAAAAATGAATAAATTTAAATAAACAAAAATAGTGAAAGGATGAAAATATACAATGATGAATATATAAACAAAAACATATTGAAAAGATGGAATATATTAGAATGACAAACATAATGAGAAGATGAATATATATGTTGAAAGATATATTTAAAACAAAGATGAATAGTCTAAATTCATAAATTTGAACAAATATTGATTGGTAAATAGAAAAAAACAAAATGAAGTTGATTTCTTCTTCATAAGAAAAGTAAGTATGGAGAACTTACCAACTACCCCAGTATCCAATGAACTTTGACTGGGTTCTAGAAATGAATTGCCACCACCGTCACCACGACCATCTGAGCGTAAAATCGCACACAATGAAAACAGTTTGATGATGTGCTACAACCACAAACAATGGGTATGATTAGATGTGTTAGTTTGGAACTCTTACATTTGCTCCCGAGATGATTGCACTGGGATTTGTCTCATCAAAAGTAGGGTTAAAGCGGGACTGCACTACTTGTATCTAGTTGCGCCCTCTATATAGCCAACAGTGCCTAAGCGGTTGCCTAAGCGGTACCCGTTGGTCCCCCATGATCCCCTTTTTCTTATGTTAATTGAGAGCTGATTTGATGAGATAACCATCAGCCAGTGACCACTCAGGGAGGTCTAATCCCTCCTGGCCAAACTAGTGCAGATAGGCTTTAAGGGTTGAAATAGGATTTTAGGTTAGGTTTAAGGTTTAGGGTTAGGGTTAGGTATAGTCTTGGGTCCAGGGTTGAAGTTTAGAACTAAGTTAGTGTTGAAAATTAAAAGAGAACATTTGTCGCACTAGCAAGTGTTGTACAAGTTACAGTAGTATGATAACTATAGAACTATGGTGGATGGGAGGGGGGAGAGCACTGACAATGATATGTAGTTATGGATGACCCAAGTGGAATAAAATAGGAGTCCAGGAATGTGGGTGGGGAAGCCATGGGCATCATCAGGAGGGGCCACTAAGTCTTACTCATAGGATGAAAATCATGAAACGCAAATAAAACAACCATTAATGAAGAGGGGTTTGTGGGTACTATTATTTTCTTTCCTTTTCCCCTCTTCCCTACTATTCCCAGCCCCCCCCCCCTTTCTCTTTTTGTTTCTTTCTTTCTCTTTTTGTTTGTGTGTATACATTAGATTGAGGGCACATTCCCCTCCCTACTGCTAGGCTACGGTGTGGCCTAACTAACTATTGATACATGTTAGCTGCCTCATATCATGCAAAGGCTGGATTTGAATTTTCAAGAGAATCTGATGAAAGTGAACTGAAGAACAATTCATAATCTAAGCTACGTCAATTCCAATAAAATATATTGCTCTGTAAGGAGACATCTACCCTACTAATGTATGAATTGTGAATGCTTATAATACAAATATATGTGTAGTGAGGAAACAAATGAAATAAGATAACTTTATGTGTAACACAAACAAATTGGTGTCACACTTGAAAGAAAATTAATGAACATGAAAGAAATTAACCTAGAAATCGAACCACATTAAAATAATGATTCTAAAAACATGCAAAATACAGTATGTATACCGGTAATGACAAAGACAAAGACAAATTAAGAATTGAACCCTTCACCATAACCACTATTAGATGTATACCTTCTTCAGCATGATGCTGTGATGTAGCGCTGTTATTAGAAACTGGTTTCAAATCTGATGGCCCTTCCATATTGTCGTCTAGAGGAAGCTCCTGTCATAAACAAAAAAATGAGGACAGGAAACAAAATAACATTAAATTGTCGCCTCTTTGAAGTAGAAGCATACATATATCTATGTGGCATGTGCATGATTTAGAGTACGGTAACTGTCTCATCATTGATTTGGGAAATGGCCAAATGGGGGTTTCGATGTGGACTAAAAGTAATCACTGCAGTCAATCTCCCATAATGCTTCACAACATGGATGACCCTTTGATCTCTGAATACGAAACATCCTGGGGTGCAGTCTTCACAGAAACAGGGGAAATCCCTCACAAGAAGAACACGCCCACATTTTTCAGAAATAAGTACAAGTGAAAAGTAAATCACATCATATACATATATCAGGGGGTGATAGTGAGCATTACAAAAAATCAGGAAAAAATCAAAAAAATCAGGAAACCGATTTAAATCGGGTACTTATCAGGCCTGATAGTGTATGTGTAAGAGGTCCAAATTAACGATGTAGTCACTGTCAAAACTGTCTTGTTGGTCACCTCTCTATATAGGCCACCTGTCTATAGTGGTCACATACTGTACACTGCATGTCTCTCTCTCTCTCTCTCTCTCTCTCTCTCTCTCTCTCTTTCTCTCTCTCTCTCTCTTCTCTCTCTCTCTAGCTCTCTCTCTCTCCCTCTATAGGAGGAAGTGAGTTGTAGAACCTGTCTAGAAAGGCCACCGTCTACAGTAACAAGTTTTCCCTGTTTCCTTTGGGTGGTCTTAATAATAGACAGGTGCGAATGTAGTCTAGTTTTAGCGCATCAACATCAAAAATTAAAATGTACAATAACTATCCGAATCAAGTTGGAAATGGTAGTTTAATGCAATATGTACATGAACATGTACAACACTCATGGCAACCTACAACAATGGAATTGACCTTTGTTCCCTCCATATGAAACATCCAAGGTGTGGTCTTTCAAGATAAAGTACAATAGAGGAAAATTCCATCACCGTCAACATGCAGAACAGATTTTTTTTTTTTTTTGAATGACATAAATTATGATGAGATGCTATCAAAGTAGACCCACAATTTAAAACAAAAAGTACTACTGTAGGTGAAAAACTTATAGGGAAAAAAATGTTAATCACATGACCACATACAATGTACATGTGCAACATGTATGCTAGGAGAACAAATAAACAATGTGCAAATCTGCAGAAACCACAATATTACACAAAACAATTCTTACAAGGTTAAACAAACACATAATGTAAAACACAATTTGATTTTCTACCATGCACAGTTTCAACTATCCGCACCAATTCATCTCACGTCACAAGAATTGGGGTTATCGGTAGTCACTACAGTAAGTAGAAGTTGATGAGTACATACATGTACATGTATACATGTACATGTACATGTACATGCAGTGACAATGATTATTATAATATAATCATGCCATTTAAAACAATGATGACCATGAAAATAAATAATATAATAGCTGGTAGAGTATGACACATTGGAGCAATTCAATTACAATATTTACTACATAAATACATGATGACTAGTGTAGGCCTACAGTGTAGTACTGTATGTGTATATGGATGATTGACAATGCTACATGTATACTAAAAATATTAATAATATCAATGATGATTAATTCATATTAAGAAATAACAGTGGTAGCTTGAATCAAGGCATGAAAAACACATACTGTACATGTACATGTACACACACACACAATAAAGGCATGAGCTACACATGCAGCAAGCGAGCATTAATGTTCATGTATTCAATAGTAATATTTGTAAAGCGCTTAGAGACATTTGTATTAAGCGCTATATAAAAGCTAAATATCATTATTATTATTATTATAGTTCAATTAATCAATACTGTCACATGCAAATATTAACACAAGGTTAAGTATACAATCAAGCAGTGATTAGTCCACAGAACAAATTACTTTTCAACACCAAACGTGAAATGCCACAGTGGTATAGACAATAGAGCAACTGTCTAATACAACCAAGAGGTCCTAGGTTCAAAACCATGTTGATATAGATGCTGCTTGTAAGTATCGGCTTGCATGGTGATGTAGATATATGTACAGTAGGCTTGCGGGTGCACCAAGTTGATATAGTTCCCTTAAAAAGGCATTCATCCTCAGTATCCATGTCTCTCAGATAGCATTGGTCCCCCTGATAGCTACATGTTACATCACATAGCAGTACTGTGCTTGCTTTCTTGGCAGTTAATTGTAAAAATAATGCATCATCATCATCGTCATAGATATGTTATAGTCCAACTGTTGAATTCCCTTACTCAATCTAGGTTTGATCAAAATAGCTGTACATACAGTTCTTGGGAAGAGAAATATATAAACATACCATGTGAGTCAAAAAAAGGTTTACACTTTAGGGAATTTAATCACCTAAATAAAAGAAATAGAAATAGATTTCTTTCCTACCTTGTCTCGTAGAAACACCTGTTGAGTACAGATACTTGGAACATATATTATATCACAAGTAGTAGTTCAAATATTGCACAGCACCCGTAGAAAGAATATGTAAGACCATGTACAAAGTAATGACGCTTCTTCGCGAATTAAGTAAAGAAGAAGAAACTTATAATCTCTATAAAGTAATGAGGCCTCAGAACCGAGTAGAGAAACAAGCGAAGAAATAGGACAAGAATTAAGATGAAGCTGAATTAGCTTTGCTGTTGATCGATCGACTCTCTAGAATAGGTGTGCTCTATATGAACAGCTCAGGAGAAGTGATGAAAATAGGTGTGGCAAATAAAGCAAGCAAGTGTAATGTCCCTGTACAGTATAAGCTATACCAGTACATTAGGTGGTTGCACATCCCAACCCATAGGGTATGGAATGTGCTTGCCAGAGTAAGTATTTGTGGCACTCTAGTAATGCAACAGGTGTCACTAAAGAAATGAGTGACAATGGAATAAAAGGCTAGACTTCAAGCCACACAATAAAGACAAGACAATAATATTTACAAATGCAAAGTTCTCCAAAGGTCAAGTCACTACAACACCTAGAAAATTGCTAATTATTTTAAAAATCATCTATGAACAGTAGATTGCTGGTATTATTATTATTATCATATGAAAAAGTGTTTTATTCCAAATCTTTTGGTATCATTTACGCCAAAGTGATGCCTACGTCTCACACACACAAACATGCACATGCACGAGCAAAAATGTTTGTTTAATATTTGATATTTGATATTCGTTATGTGTCGCATGATTAATTTTACCCAAATCCCAATTGTTTTATTCAAACATCATATAAGCAACTTTGGCGCAAGTCAATTTTTGCACTCTCGCAAACAAGCCTCCTGTTTATCCAAGCGTGAACACATACCACACAAAACACTCTCTTATAAGATGTATAATATTTTACTATTCATAGATAATTTTCAAAATAATTAGTAGTTTTCTAGGTGTAAACTTTTTTTTGACTCACACTGTACATGTATGTGTACATGCCAGATTTACCAGTAACCAGCAACCCATATTCGTAATGTTTCGTGATATCATTGCCCTGGCCAGAAGTACCTACACCATGTACATAGTTGAGCGGTCTCAAATAAATGTATTGTACCGTGTATATACAAGGGTACATGTACATGTAGCAAGGAAGGTTAGTCCATTCAAAAAGTTCATTAAAAATTTCCTAAAAATCAAGTACTACTAGTCTACTACTAGGCCTTACATGCATGCAAGCCTATAATATTGGATGTTAGAGCGAGGTTCTAGCACAGAATTAGAGTAAATTTTGGTAAATAACCTTGTAATTATGTTCCATGCCGTGCATACGTCCTCAGCTCTCCACTGGTTGTTTTATTCTGCCAGGTTTCATCCACAATGAGCAATGAAGTCCCTGCACATGAGATACATGCCCAGAGTAATGAATAAAATCATTGATTTAAAGAGGACCAACCACTTTATCTTTTTTTTTTTAAAGTGTTAAGGTTATTAACAGTAATATTAAAGGCCCACTGCACTACTTGTAGCTACTTGCGCCCTCTATATAACAAACAATGCATAATCGGTGACCATTGGTCCCCCATGATCCTCTTTTTCTTATGTTAACTGAGAGCTGCGTTGATGAGATAACCACCTGTCCAGTGACCTTGCAGGGCAGTCTAATCCCTCCTGTAAACTACGGCAGATAAGCTTTAAGTTAGCGCATAAAACTGATGTTTCTGGCATTTAATTAGCTAAGTTTCCCTGATAAGACGCTCTATCATTTGCGGAATTTCTTCATACCGGGCACCCATTTACATTACCCGGGTGGAGAGTGGCAAATGTAGATTAATGTCTTGCCAATTGAAATTAGAGTCAAAGCGGGAGTCAAACCACAGATATTGTGATCCACAGTCCGTTGACATATCCACATGATGGCACCTCTCACCCTGGGTTCTTGGCAGTGCATTAACTAATACTACTAAATTTTGTTAAATTAAAAAAAGAGAGAGCCCTGCAATTATTATTAAAGAGTATGAGTACAAGAAGATAGACCAAGAAGATAGACCTGGAAGCTCGACTGCTGTTTCAGCATTCTTCCAGTATTTGCGGTAAAGGTAAAGGTAATACAGCCTGCTGTAGCGATCCATGCCCCTAAAAACAGCTAACAAGAATGCAGAGAATCTGGGCACTGTTTCACAAAACATAAGTAAAAGTTCATGATCATCACATTAAAACGCATGTTGAATTTTATAAACACATTTCAATGGGTTGTTGGCGAAGCCAAACTGGCACTTATGATGGTTGCGTGAAGCGCTGCCCAGATCTATACAATACAAACATGCATACATGTAGGCCTATATGTACATGTATATAGTCAGCCGAAACCTAATTTGCTAATAAAGTACTGTTAGGTGGCATATCCAGACCTTTGAATCAGGAGGAGCAAAACTCACCTTGAACTCACTGTGATCCCCCTAATGTTTTGAAAGTACAACTATACTAGAGTTTTTCAGAAAGTGTAGAATTTCATTGTTTCCAAGACCCATCTTACAATTATTGACTTGCAATAGATTCCCAAGCAATCCATCCTACAGCAATTGTATTCCCCAGATAACTTAAACCACGAGATGTGCCCCTTGCCCCCCTCCAAATATACCTCCAAAACACTAGTGCTACTGTGTACTGCCATGTAAAGTGGTGATAGATATATACATGTATGTGCAAAGCATGAAAATACTACAGCATATATGACCAGTATAAATCTTGGAATGACAAAAAAAAAGGAAATGCAATCCATCATACAGTAGAAGTCTGCTTGTACTCTACTAAGTTGGCGCAACATGATATCAACTCAAGTATGTAGTATTTATTTGCAGCAGGCATATGTGAGTATAGACCGAATTTCCGTCTCTTTCGTTCGTTAGCCTCTTATTGGGGTAGGGTCGGCTCTCTCTTTAGAGACGGAAACCGTCTATACACATTCCCTTGATAACGCCACGGCCATTTCAGGTCGTAGCGTTTTGCCCCCAAAATCCCCCAAAATGTCATTTTACCTCATGCATTGATTATTTAAAATTAGGAGAAGGTTATACTACATCGGTTCCACTTACCAACTTGACTGAAATAATCCGTTTAATGGTCCCTTTTAAGGAAATTATGGGTCAAAATCGACATCCATGTTGAAAACTTGCAAGCCGTGTTAAACTCTCGCTGCGCACGGAGTCATCTAAATCAATCTCATCCCTTTTAGTCTACGCCGAAGGCAAAACGATTATGAAGGAAAAAACTGTGATAACGCCATTAAGAAAGTGTAAATGGCCGTGGCGTTATCAAGGGAATGTGTATAGACGGTTTCCGTCTCTAAAGAGAGAGCCGGCCGACCCTACCCCAATAAGAAGCTAACGAACGAAAGAGACGGAAAATTCGGTCTAATGTGAGTATTGAATGATGCAAAAGTATTTAAGCATAACAAGAAGGGGTGGTTCTGCTTTTTTTTAATTAATTTTTTTTCAATAGCAGACTTTTGCAGCAATGAAATGTGTGTAGCCTGTAGGATATTGTCTAGTATGAAATGGGAAAGAAGAAACCAATGTGTGTGACGTAATGATCGAAGTAATGTGCACAGTGGATCACTGAATGGTTGTTTCCTCAAAATATTCCTAGACCTATTTCCTGATAATGCTGAAATGCAGGGTGTTTGGTTACATTAGCCTTAAGGGCTCTCTCGAAATGTTTTTTTAATGATATTATTCGAGAGAGCCTTAAACGGCTCCCATACCCCTGCACGGAGAGGCATGTAAACAAAACTCAAAAGTGGTCCAAAATCACACTTTCGCGCACCCGACCAATATTGGACAGTGGCTTTGATAAATTTTGTCGTAGTTTTGGTCTTAATTAGCGCTTTAATTTCAAAATCGGATCTAAAAATAACAAAATAAGAGCAATTTTCTTACCAGACCGATACAGCTCAGCTCCCTTTTCACGTGTACCGTGTGAATTCACGATGTCTACACAATGGTGATGACCTCTGACTAGCACTTCGTAAATGTGCTGCTTCTGTATAATGCGCTGAATTACACTCATACAGCGCATTATACGGAAGCAGCACAATTTACCCACAATTACGGAAGTGCCAGTCAGAGGTCATCACCATTGTGTAGACATCGTGAATTCACACGGTACACGTGAAAAGGGAGCTGAGCTGTATCGGTCTGGTAAGAAAATTGCTCTTATTTTGTTATTTTTAGATCCAATTTTGAAATTAAAGCGCTAATTAAGACCAAAACTACGACAAAATTTATCAAAGCCACTGTCCAATATTGGTCGGGTGCGCGAAAGTGTGATTTTGGACCACTTTTGAGTTTTGTTTACATGCCTCTCCGTGCAGGGGTATGGGAGCCGTTTAAGGCTCTCTCGAATAATATCATTAAAAAAACATTTCGAGAGAGCCCTTAGTTAAGGCTAGGTTACATGCATAGGGTCTATGTTATTATTGCATAGCTCTTCACACAGGCACGGGCAAATGCCAGTGCACAAGTTGATTATAAGGCTCAGTGACATCAATATTGCATTTCATAAATCAACAAGCCCTTTTAAGTTTTAAGGTTTAAAGATTTAAGGCTAAGTTCGACTTCAACTCCAAGCAGGCAAGCACCCCGCCCCGCCCCCCTCCAACTCCCCCGACCCTGTTCGCTCTGATCTGCACTCACTCGGCTCTTCAAAATGAAATTTCAATGAAAGCTCACACTCACAGTCACACTCAGTCACACAGTCCAACTAGCCGACGCGGCGCAGTCATAGAAATTTAAAATTGAAAGTAAAATAAAATCTCTCCAGGATACATTATAAAATGTTTTCAGAAAGACGGCAGCACTCCTTACCTGGCGCTGTCAAGGTCAGTGATTTTACAATTCTGTGGCTCTCCGGTACAATCGCCTGCCTTGAGCTGAGAGCTAGCTGAGCTGAGGTGCCGCTTAAAAATTAGTTACGCAATATACATACGTGAGTGTACCTGTCGAGAGAGGGCACACTATCTATTTTTTTGTTTGGTTCCCCTTCGATCGAGAAGAGTGACGACGGGAGCGGCCGAGACGGATTTTTTTTTTTAATTCGTTTTATTATTTTAGTTAAATTTGTCTGGAAAAACTGAATTGCTCTGACAAGTTTATTTGTTTACGTCCACAAAACTCACCATAAAAAAGCATGAGGAAATAATTATCCCTTCCCTTTCATTACAGCCCTCGGTCTTGGCATGCCACTATGACAATCAAAAAAAAAAAAAGACATTATTGTTTTGGGAGAATTTCTTGATGAAATTTCAACATGGAATGATCACACCTATGTTTATATCCAAAAGTGTTGGAATCATAAATAATTTAACATTTTTTTTGCCCCATACTACGTTATTTTTATTGTATAACACTCTTAGTACACTCTAGTATTTTTGGACAAACTGTGGTGTAACCACTAACTTAATTTGGGTGTTTTATTAAGCACTATTTTTTTGCCGGCATCTAAAACACCCTCTTTTGCCAAGGGTGCGGGGTGTTTGAACACTCAAAACATCCCCCCCCCCCCCCCCTCGATACGTTCATAAAATTGTCAACAAATATTGTTCAAATCGCTTTGTAGAGACGATGAACAAATAAGAATAATATTGCTTGGTCGTTAGTCATGAGAATGTCAACTTTCTCAGCTTAATAATCCGAAAGTAGAATAAACCGAGCGGAATCAACTGAAATTTCTTAACAACAATTGAAACTTCTCCCAGAGTTCCAGTAAGCCTATAAACGTTTGATTTATCTCCCCATTCAAATAGCATTGTATAAAGGAGGTCACAAAATTAGAATTGTAATAATACTTCGTCATTAATGGTGAGAATGTTTACTCAATTACTGTTAAACGAATTTGTCATGAGTCCTGAAAATCGATTTGTTACTTCATGTCATGCACAGTCATGGAAGTATTAAAGAGCAGCAATGGCGAACGCCTTTTTGTCGTTAAAATTCAACAATCGTTTCTAAGGTTCTCTTTTTCTTAAAGGTAATACAAAGTTTTGGGATGGGGTCATGAATTTGGTTCAAATGAACATGTTAGAAGCATATGCGATCCTACAATATTCAGGGATCGTTGTTGCGGTTGAAATCGAGTCTAAAGTTATGAAATTGTAAATAATAAACTCTTTATGTTATATAGGTCCCTCTCAAGGTCAAGATATTAATTAAGCTATAAAACAATGTTTCTTGACTAAAATCGACCAATTAGCTATTCCCGTTTGGAAATTATATATCACAACTACATATTCTGAGATTTTCATGGTCACAGCTACCATTGTACGGCCGTAGGCGCTAATTGAAATTTATCAACATTTATACCGGGAGCACCGGTAAAATTTTATATTCAATTTTTCTCGAAAGGAGAACTGTTTTAGGGGCTAATTTTTCTTGTGCTTATAATACATCCACAGGGGCATCCAAATATATCAAAATTGTAAAAAATCACTTTCCACCCAATTTTCAAATTTCCCAAAACTTTGTATTACCTTTAATAATTACTATGAGACATCAAGCTACTACATAGAACTATGATCGACAAACATGAAGTTGTCTTGAAAACAGTCAGAAAACATTTGAACTAGAATAAATAAAACTTAGATAATGCGATCATGACACAAATGCATTTTGCCCATGTTGATCCTCCAGTACCAAATACCCGAGCCAAACTCGAGGAAAGACGTTATTTATGACATAATTATTGTCTATATTGTCATTATCATTGTATTCTCTACTTATTTCTATTTCCTATTTTTGTTTTAATATATATTTCAATGTTTCCTTGTGTTGATTAGGTTCATTTATTTTGATTTTTTTTTTTTTTGGAGGGGGCATCGGGGGCATGCATGGTTAAAAAATAACAGCTTATTTAACATTCCGTTTCCATGGCAATGATCTTATTTTGGTACTCGAAATGACTAAAATTTTAATCATAATCAAACAGACATCTGAAGTTAGTAGAAGCTTACTATTTGCTCAATTTTGTTGAAAATCATAATATTCCCTAACAAATCCAATATTTCTTGATTCGTTTTGATTTTAAAAGCCCATCGATCACGTCCATTATACCTACATTATGGCAACAGGACAGAACATTATACCCGAGGGTCATAGAAAACGGAAAGTAAACATTTGAAATTATGTAAATTTTGTGTTAATTCATCAAATTGTAAACAAGTAGACAAAGCGGAGAACCTCCTAGAAAGCCAAGGCTTGTCATAAATTTATGCTGGAAAATTTTCGATTTTTCTTCAGCGTCGTAGGGGGGCACCTCCCCTCAGACTCCCTCTGTCCGCTCATGCGCGGAACGCACCGCTAAATATTTTCTCACAAATTGCCCTCCTCCCCCTCCCCCCCCCCCCCCCTCGGGATCCGCCCCTACCCTCACCATCGTCAGTGTTGTTCTGATCGTCACCACCACATGTAGAAGGCATATAATGACATAACTTGCATGGTACAGCCACTTTACGAATCTGTCTGTCTCCACCTCTCCTATAATATACGCTCAGAGATAAATTCTCACTTTGGTCAATCGTGAAGAGCGGCCTCACACTACTGTACTCATGCAGTAACTTCGCTTCTGTTAGACCATTTTGTTTGTTTTTATTTCTGCGTTTTCAAAATAGAACATAACCGTATACATAAAGTAACAATTATTTCTTCATTATACATAATTATAATTTTAAGTACATTAAATAAGATGCATACAAACACAAATATTTTTCAATGAAAAAAAGATAAATTACAGAAAACGCAGAAAACCGCTTTGGATATACTTAAAAAAACACCTAGAAATCATAATTTTCCCTTTAACAAAAAAAATCATAATTATACATGCATGCACTGAAATTTGATTATTGCAAATATGTCTCTATACAACCCCTGTATGGAAAAAAATCTATTCCGTCATCAATAACAAAGAAAATTAAAGTTTACGAAATTGTATGAACAGAGGAAATTGGAGGGGAGCTCGCAAGATACGTCTCAAAGTTGCCAAATTGTATTTTATTGATGGCAACTTCACAACTTTCTTATTTTTATTCGGAATTTGCTCATACTTTTATTGACATGTTCCTCCCGTTTTTCTCCTTTTATTAAAACCAACTTATTAACAGGGTGGACTTCTCCTTAAGTCGGAGAATCGTGTTTCTAAAATAAAACCTAACCGTTTATAACCCTAACCCTATTGCATACGTAACATGGTCTGCAAATTAGATACCTTAGCTACATTACGTTAGTGGGATTTTGTTAAAGAAACATATGCCTCTATGACTAATTAAATATATAATGCACACCCTGACCAGGAGCGATTGTATAAAAAAAACCCTGCTTTTTATGGCATCGTATTAGGCTTATGGAATGCCCCCCCCCCCCAGCTCACCTGTCATAAAAAAAAAATGAATTTTCAACATTTCCCTTCTAACGTGTATAAGCCTAATTGATATGGCGCTCCGAAGCACAAGTTTCGCGATTCACAATATATTGAATAATTGCTGCCAATACCAGGGGCGGATCCAACCGCGGGCAGGGGAGGGGATTGGGCCAATGAGGGGCCCCGATTCCTGAGAAAATATTTAGCGGCGAAACAGCCAGCCGGCGAAAATCGGGGAGGAGGGGGGGGGGGGATAAGGAGCACTATTTTTTAATTATTTTGTTTGCCCCTTAAATTTGAAAATTGCGCCGGCCGATATTTCGCTCAGTGGGGGGGGGGGGGGGGGGGGGGGGGGGGGGGGGGGGGGGGTGTAAGCACTATTTAAAAAAAAAAACTCAACACCCACCCCCCCCCCCCTCCCTTTGAGCTCCAGGAGAGGGGGCCCGTATTACCATAAAAAAAAGGTAAAATTAAAGTGTTTTTACCTGTGTTTTTTTCGCCAGGGGATGGCCTCCCCCCCCCCCTGGATCCCCGATTGGCCAATACTCTTATTCGTATTGGAGTGTTCTTTCAAAGGGGAAGTCCACCCTGATATCAAGATGGTTTTGATATAAGCAGAAGAAAAAAGGAGAGATTCTGAAGCAGGTCAGTGAAAGTTTGAGCAAAACCTGATTAAAAATAAGAAAGTTATGAAATTTTAAAAGTGCGATGCAAAACAAATGGGCAACACTGTGACGTATCTTGCGAGGTCCCCTCCCCCAAAACTTCGAAAATGTTCATTTTCTCCTATTATAATTAGTACAAATGGTTTTTTTTACACAACACCCGTATAAAACAGATTTATTCCGTCTTTGATAGCTTACAGAATGAAAGTTTAGATACGTCACAATATTGCCAATTATTGGTGTTTCACTGATGACAATTCAAAAGGTCATATATTTCTTTTTTTTAATCGGATATTGCTCAAACTGTCACTATTAATTAACCAATCAGGGTGGACTTTCCCTTTAAATAGCAAATTTTGCCCCGTCAAAACATTGATGTAACCAGCGTGAGGTCTCTTGCTCGGATCATAAACTTTTCCGTTTCTTCGCTTTGCTCGCTCGCGAGATGAAATATTGACACCGCTTTTTATTAGAGTGTAATTTTGTCATCAAAATAATTACACTATAAATATGAAGTTTCCAAATCGTTTAACTTGCTGCCCGAACTGTAAGTGGCGGTTGCCCTAGTATTGGTAAGTTTAAAAGTGTATAAAGGGCTATTGGTAAGTAACTGGTGATTTATGTGATTTTGTTGTGATTTTTTTTCTTCTAAATTAATAGGGCTACAGATAGGGCTGCAGCCTCATATCTGGTGAAGTCTTTTGTGACATACAGGTCATCGCCCTTCTAATCTATTTTTGCCTCTTAACATTGTGTGAGGAGTTAAGTAAATGGATGCACCCATCCAATCCAATTCAAAAGATATTTGATATAGCGCCTTTTCCCTGCACCTATGAACATTCATGGGGGGGGGGGGGGGGGGGAGTACGCCGCCCCTACCTCGGGATATCTGGCGCA